CCAGCCTCTCTGCTTCCACTCAGCGAGAGAGGGGGTGAGGGGCACATTGCTGCAGGCACATTTCAAGCCAGTCTAAAGGCAGAGAAACAGCATCAGATGCAAACATATGCTTTTAGTTTTGAAGATATTTACTCTACATCCTGGTAGAACAGAAGAGACATAGAAGACGATATTTCTGACAGATTTCAGTGCATGAAGCTGTGCACTGTGGTGTATTTGCTCCATATGAAGGGAGTTATTTTGCAGGACTGTGTGAAGTATTCATGTTGGCTTATTTAAGACGAAGTGAGAATAATTCATTGCACCAGAATGTTTGCTCACTCTTATCCTCCAAGAAATCTCCATGACTACGCTCCTGTGCTGTGAGCACATAAAAAAACAAGTTAAATCTCCATTATCAGATGTTTTGACAGAGTCTTTTTTTAAACATAGTTTCTTTGTTTTACTGTATAAGGTCAAAGCAAATTGTACTAGATATCAGCTTTTTTCTCACAAGGGAAATTTTGTATTATGCCTTTATGTTATTATGAGCAAATATCTGCAAAAAGTCCCTATGTTTGATGTATTTTTATGTGTAACTCAAAGTGCATTTTGCTGTGATATAAGGGCTTTTTTGTCGTGATCAGTATGTATTTGTGTTTTATGACTGACCCAAATGGTCCCTAGCGTAGTCTAAGATATGCTACCAGGCGTTTCTATAGCGTCGCAGTCTTACAACAATAACTCGCCTGATGATCTGCTGGATATCCTCAGTATGAAGACAGAGCCACTGAGGCAAACAAGAAAATACAGCATCCCTGAGCTGCAAAACCCAAAAGCAAGACGGAAAATCTAAAAACTAAAACCAAATACACAAAGGTTAAAAAACATCTAAGGACAAACTTTGGTTTACTGAGGCAAACAAGCTCCTGCATCACTGCTGCTCCTAAATCCATCCAAAAATAAGAAGCATGGATCCTGCCTGCACTAGTTTGAAGGGTTTTTTTTTTTTATACTATTTTTGACTCTTTTAGGAGCTGCAGTAACTCGGTGGTCAGTGTCGCGGTCTCTTGATCCTGAGGCTGTGAGGCTTTTTTTATTTATTTATTTTTACAAAACTGAGTTTGTGTGTGGACGGGAGATGTAAACACCACAGATTATTCATTATTTATTTGAAGTAATCAAGTAGGGCAGCACGGTGGCACAGTTGGTAGAGCTGCTGCCACTCAACGAGAAGGTCGCTGGTTCAAATCCTGGTCCGGGTGCCTTTCTGGGTGGAGTTTGCATGTTCTCTCTGTGTATGTGTGGGTTTTCTCCGGGTACTCCGGTTTCCTCCCACAGACCAAAAACATGCATGTTAGGCTGATTGGTAACTCTAAATTGTCTCTAGATGAGAGTGAGAGAGTGAATGATTATTTGTCTCTATGTGTCCCTGTGATGGACTGACCTGTCCAGGGTGTCCCCCGCCTCTTGCAAGTGACAGCTGGGCATGGGCACCAGTGACCCCAAAAGGAAGAAGCGGGTAAAGATAATGGATGGATGGATGGATGGATGGATGGATGGATGGATGGATGGATGGATGGATGGAGTGAAGTAAGGTAGACAGGCTGATGAAGACTTCTGATGATTTTAACTCTGAAGCCACAATTTCTTGGGTTGCGGGAGCAGCAGCTTGAGCAGGGAGGTCCAGACATCTCTTTCCACCTCTTCCAGCTCATCTGGGAGGATTCCAAGGCCCCAGCGTGTTCTGAGTCTTCCACATGATCTCCTCTCAGTAGGACATGCCTAAAGCATCTCCCTAAAGAGGCACCCAGGGAGCATCCTTATCAGATGCTCAGTCCACCTGAACTGGCTCCTCTCGATGTGGAGGAGCAGCGGCTCTGCTCCGAGTCTCTTATGGATATCTGAACTTCTCACCCTAACTTTAAGGGAGAGTCCAGCTACCCTGTGGAGGAAACTCATTTCTTCACAGAGGTGCTGTGAAGAAAGCTTGTTTTGACTGCCTGTATCTGTGATCTTGTTCTTTTGGTCAGTACTCAGAATTTGTGAACATAAGTAAGGCTATGAATCTAGACAAGCTTCATCTTACAGCTCAGCTCCATCTTCACCATAACGGACCGGCACAGAGTCCATCTGTCGATCTCCTGCTCCATTCTTTCATCACTCATGAATAAAACCCTGAGATGCTTGAACTCCTCCGCTTGAGGGAACACCTCCACCTGTAGAGAAAATAAATGAATAGCTATCATTCCCCAAAAGGGCCACTGGTGTCTTTAGGTACTGATAGGCCTTCAGTTTTCTCCGTTGGTCTCATGCTATGTAGAAGTGCGTTGATGATTTCTGCAAAAATGTCTAGTTGGGGAGTTATGTCAAGGTATGCACGTATGCAAAATGTGGGTTTTCCGGGTGAAACACCTGTCTGTGGTCAGAAAGCTGTGGCTGACTTGTAAAACTACTGCTGTACGTTGCAGCGCTGCCTTTCGTCGACACCGTACTGTGGAGCAGGAGCTGTGCTGCTGAATCAAAGCTTTCCAGAGGAAGTGAGAGATCCAATCAGCATGCAGCTCCGTCTGAGCTTCAGTAACCACCGGAGAAGATGAGCAGTCTGGAGAGAAAAGAGCCAAAAGAATAGGTCACTGTGACATACAGCTCAAACTGTATTTGATCCTGTTAGAGCTGTCGGCAGCAATAAAAGGCAACTCAACTGATAGGTGTTTTAATCGCAGCTTTATCTTTAAACTTTCCCGCTTACTCTGCTCAAATCTGGCCACCCAGCTGCATGAGGCTGCCTGTCAAACGTCTGCAGAGGCTCTGAGGATGTAGAAATGATTTTTCTTTTCTTTTTTTTTATAGCAAGTGAAGGAAATAGAGGAGTTTTTATCGGATGAATGAGTTCCTGGGCTCTATGTTGGCTTAGTTAATGAGTGGTGCATATGTCAGCCACGCAGCTGTGGAGCTCCAATCAGCCAGCCAGCTGAGGACGGGTGACGGATGGAACGGAGAGACAAAAACAGGGAAGCGCACGCAGACAGAAAAGTATTAAACCGTCAAAATAAATAAATAAAATTCCCAAAGCAGTTCTTCAGGAGAGCAGCAAAGCAGAAGGGGTGAGAAAGGAGGATTTAGAGTGAAATAAACAGAGATCCAGAGGGGAAAAGGAGAACGATTTCTTTGCCAAGATAGTTTCCATTCTTCTGCTGCTCCCTCAGTAAGCAGGAGTTGAAACGGCAGCGGCTGCAGTCCAAATCATTACGCCCAGCTGCCTTCCTGGAAAGTATTTACTCTTGTCAATAAAAAGGCAGAAAAGAAGAGGCAGCCTAAATGTGCAGCTCCTCTGTAGGAGGATTGCAGCGTGATGACAGAGCGCACAGCCTCTCTTTGTACTCCTCCGAGGTATTAGAATATTTTCTATACCTTCTCCGCGAGTCGTTTCACCTCTCCTTCTTTTGACTTTGGCTCTTTAGTCCAGCTCGTATGTCCTGCTCTGTCCTGGCCTGTGTTCCATCAGCTCAAAGATTTAAGCCTTTAAGAGCCTATTTTCCCTGCAGTGAGAGCTTTAAGGTAGAATGTGTGCAGAAAGCAGTTTTTCTGGGGGGCAGGAGGGACGGATCAGAGCTGGACTGATACAGGTACAGACTGAGGAGAGGAGCAGATGCTCCAGGAGGACATTTTTGGCTTTGGATTGTCCCCTTCTTGAAGAAACAAAACATTTGTGGTAGATTCAGCAAGGGTCTAATTTATTTCAATATGCTCACTGCAGCTAATTAACATTACCGTATTTTCCTCCGTAAACGTCGCTCCGCCCTATAAGTCGCATCAGTCCATATTTGTCTAATAAAGTGGAAAAATCCATAAATAAATCACTTCATCGTATACGTCGCATCTATTATGCGTCACCGCTGACAACCTGGAAACGTGGGCCGGTGTTGTGCCAAAAATCGATTGGCTGCCAAATGGTGGCCGTGGGAGCGTGCACGGGAGCACTTTAGCAAAAATTTAACAAGATTAACACTTAAAAATAATTATTTGTTTGCTCGACTTTATAGTAAAGGTGTGTCTCAGTCTAACTTTTGCTTAATAAATGCACTTTGACGGTCAAATCAGCTGCATTTCAAAACCTGATTCGCGGAAGCGGGTACACGCAGAGGGATGAGCTGCTGTGCGTTTCTTCGAAATTTAACAAGATCACCACCTAAAAACAATTATTTGTTTGTTCGAAATTATAGTAAAGGTGTGTCTCAGTTGAACGTTTACTTAATAAATGCACTTTAATGGTCAAATCAGCTGCATTTCGCCGGGGCGGCGCAATGAAATGAAGTTGATTTGACGGTTGCTCCAGGCGAGCTGGATGACGGTGGCAGGCTTTGACAAGCTGATTGTGTCATTAATAGCCACCTTTACCTATTACGTGACACAACAGCATGCCATACTACTCAACTGCCATCTAGTGGCTGAAAAAGGTAGTGTTCAATATTTTCTGTCTGAATGAATGAAAACAGTCATATCTCAGCCAAAAAGTTGGTTTATAAATATGGGAAAATCCATAAATATGTTGCTTCAGCATATAATTTGCAGGGCTTAAAAATTATGCAAAAAAACATGACTTATAGGGCGAAAAATGCAGTCATACAAAAACACCCGGAACTCCTATCAGTTTTATAGACATTGAGTGTAAATTTGGTGTGGTAGTAGCAGAGCATGATTCCCAACACATACTTGGAGCATTAACGCGTCACTTAATATACTGCATGAGATTGTGCAAAGCATATTTATTTATAAGGTTTGGCCAAAATGACTTTAACCTTGTCTCTGCTCAGAATAAAAGGACTCAGTTAAAACCTGGGCATGGGAGGAATGTTAGGCCTTTCACTTTATCCCAGAATGAAGTTTAAATGCTAAATGAGATGTTGTATTCAGTTATCTGAAGTTTAATTCAATCTTTAGCTCAATGCCTGATTTTCTGCACATGGAGCCTCTCTGACCCCCTCGGCTAACCAGATTTTTTCTCGTTGCTCCTGCAGGCAGACCCGGGAGCAGGAGACCCCACCAGACTTCTTCTACTTCTCCGACTTCGAGCGACACAACGCAGAGATCGCTGCCTTTCATCTGGACAAGTAGGTGGCATCGTTGCTGTTTGTGCTGAAACACAGCCACTCAAATAGGATTACTGTAAAAATAATAAAATAAAATAAAATAAAATTGAGGCGCGCATGCAGTTTAGTGTAATTAAAGAAGGGTTTTAAATCCTGACTTTATGCTGCTTATCCTGAGTGATCTGTTGGAAGCATCAACACAGACGGCACAGTTTAAACAGAACAACTGCGCCCATGAATAACCTTACAAAGGTACAGTAACACAGAAAACAACAGTAAACAACCTTTTGCGAGGAAAGCCTACTCAAAGAGTATTTATTAGCCCTCATGCACACACTAAATGGTGAAGGATTGTCTTTGGTGTTTAACTTCTGTCTTGTCAATCCAGAGACTGGGTTTGAGTTGTTTCCATCTTTATTGTCACTGCTTACAGCAAATATAGTGAGAAAACTATAAGTGCATAAAATACAGAAAAAATGTTCTTGTTGTGTTTAAATAGGTTGGATAGAATAAAATCAGATTTTAGATCTTTGACAGCTTTTATGTTTACTGTACAGTAGTATAGTGCAGGTGAACTTATTAACAATGATTATGATGATTGATGATTGTGATCATTATGTGCATTAGGCTGATTATTGTTTTTATTTTTATTTATTTTATTTTTTGGGGCTGATCTATTGCAGTGCTGTATAGTTAGATTACTTCACTGACGCGTGTTTTAGAGATTTAATATAATACAATAACACAACTTTATTTATAAAGCACTTTAAAACAACACCGTTGGCCAAAGTGCTGTACACTAACACATGCAAGCATAAAAACTATAAACTCAACAAATACCATAAAAGTAACGAACTACCAAATCAAAACAGCAAACAGTAAAAACTATAAAACAAATATCTTCAAATAACTTTAAGGACAATGGTTGGCACTATCTGCCTTAAACTGTTCATTTTGGCTTTTGTCATTTTAAAGGAGCATTCCACATAAATGAGTTATTTGTAAAAATAATAATAATAATAAAGTTTTGAGCCAATAATGTCTCAGCTACTGTACAAAGCTCTTTGAACTGACTCACTTTCAAGGTTCAAGGTGACAAAGTTGTCATTCACATCCCGTGTGGTACATGAGGTGGAACAAAACTGTACTCAAGGTCCCAGCTACACCCAAAAATAGTGATAATATAAAGTATAAATACACTAAGAACTAGTAGCATAAAAACCAATATGCTGAACAGCAGCACGAACATGAGTCTGTGTGAGCAGATGAGGACGAATGAACACAGCAGCATGAAACAGATCAGCAGCAACATGAAACAGATCAGCAGCAACATGTTGTGATTTTTTTTTCACAGTGATTATTCTGGTTAGAGATTCATGAGTCTAACAGCATCAGGGTAGAAGCTGTTCTTCAGTCTAGTGGTTCTACACTTAATGCTCCTTAACCTCCTTCCTGAGGGGAGCAGGGCAAAAAGTGTGTGTGCTGGGTGAGTGGGGTCCTTCATGATGCAGGTGGCCCTCTTCCTGCATCTGGAGGTGTAGATGTCTGTGATGGTGGGGGGGCTGATGAGCTTTTCTTTGTGCAGCTGTGCAGCCTTCATGCCACATGTTGATTCTAGAGCAAATATATGATAAACAATAATGATGTATTATAATACGGTGTGTTAAACAGCAGCCTGAACATGAGTCTGTTGTGAGCAGATGAGGAAGAATCAGCATCATGGATAATTTATAGTGTGTGTAATAATTTGGAGTGCAAGTATAATATAAAGTATAATAATTTGGAGAAATAAAGAGTAATTTGATAAGACTGATGACATCAAATTGGACTGATGCCAAATTACAACAATCTGAAAAACAGTGGTTCAAGCGAACGCTCTTTTCTGAGCGATTTTGCCACTTTTAATTTTGAATGAATGTTTTAATACAGAATTCTGAGGGTATTTCCAAGCGCAGTTAGTGATGGTGGCAGCTAGCTGTGGGCTAAATTCTGTTAGGACATTTATAATGTGTCGGCTGAATAATTTTGTATTTACAACAGCGATGAAGATTTAAAGGTTTAAGCACTTGTTCCTTAAACTTATATGAAATGTTGATGCTTGAAGTTGATTTATTTGCTTTAACAGTTGGTCCACTTGGATTATACAAACAAGCTAAAACCAGCTAATGCAGGAAAAACCTTTGCTTGCTTTGCCGTTTTTTTTAAGCTATGCCACGAAGGTTCTATGTTAATAGGCGTGTGCTCAGTAGAGCAGGTGGAGCAGCTGCTCCCTCGTTTGAGTTCTGAGTTGTTTCAGACCAACTCAGCCGCTGTGATAACTGCGAGCTAGACAGCATTCAGCTGTGGAGATGAGACAGAACGTAAAGCTGTTGTTTCTAAAGTCCTTTAAACGGTGCTGCGTCCTCTTCTGACTGAATCAAACAGAACAGAATGAGCGATGCCACGCTATGAAGGAGCCGAGATACCCACAAGTTTATCAAAAGTGGGAAAAATAAAGCCAGTTCAGCTGGTTTTATATTGATATCTATCTGGAGCTCATTACAGATTTGAACAAAAGTCTCTAGGCTATAATTGGACTAACTAAAAGGAAAAGGTTTATAAATGTCTGCCTTTGGTTTTGTATTTTAACTCATCATGGCTCTGTTTGTTCAAAATGTTAAATAACCTTTATTGTGTTTGGACGTCAGTGTTGAAACTGCAGCACATTGCAGTTTCTGTTACTCCAAACCAGAAATAACTGGTTCAAAACAGAAACCGTTTGCTTGGATCCAGTAACTCAAATCTCCGCCCCTAAAAGTCCAAAGTCATCGCGAGTTTTTATTAAAAACCTCAAAAATATCATTAAACAGCAGAGTAAAATTGCATATCAGCGTTGTCGTTCAAGTGGACCATTGCCTGAAATTTTGATTAAAATAAAAGTGCGAGAACAATATTTTGGTAATCACGTGACGTGCGTTCGTGATGTAAAACAACTGCGGCATTTTTTTTCCAAATAACCGCAATCAAAATGTCAAAACGGCAGTCACAGTCCAGTTTACTTTCATTTTTTTTACAAAAAAGGCTCCAAACAAGCAGATGTTGTCTGTAGGACCTTAACCTAAATGTCTATGTAAACACTGTGGACGATTAGACTTTTACATCCCTGATTTAGTTCCATTTTATCACACAATCAGACTCCACTGCATGTGTTGCTTGGTAGTGTAGATAAGCTGTAAAGCAAAACAAAAAAAAGCTGTGAAGCCTAATTAAGAAAAACTAAAAAAAAAAAGGCCTGAAAAGCACAATGATGCAGCTTTAAAGCCACGAAGAGATGCCAGAGGCAGCTGATTTTCACTGGAATAACATTAAAGATCAGTCATTTTAAGGGCAGCGTGACTGCTCCGCCTTGAGCACCGAAAACATGCAGCTATAGTTCTGCAAACTTTCTCAGCTCAGTCGTGGTGTGAATTTACTCTTACCCTCCTATAAATGCTTATTTTGTATCCTTGAGGGGCCAGCGTCCTGCAGGTTTTCGTTCCTCTCTGATTAGTAATTTGCCCGTCGCCGCATCAGCTCATTAACCACCTGGGAGGAGCTCAGGCTGCAGAAAGAACACCAAAGAGGGATACTACTGTTTTACAAGAACGCTTCAAGAATAGAAGAAATAAAGGAGGGCTGGAGCGCACTGAGTCTTTTTGCAGGGCGCTGATACGCCCGTGAAGGTGTTGTTGGGTCATCAGAACGAGCAGGTTTTGTGTTTGAAGTGCAGTCAGATATGAGAGCCTTCAAAGCCCCTTTTAATTTTTAATTTTTTCATTTGAATTGCGCCGCTCAAGGTGGCTGCATGTTGGAGCAGCTCTCTTACATTCATTCTGAGATTTTCCTTTTGAAAACTTTAATTACTCTTTTTTTCTGGATGTAAATCACTTTTTCCGGATGATTATTTCCTCTGATATCAGATGCTGAGCCACTGGAAGGATTTTTACTGAAATCTTTTTTACTTTTGGTTATTTGTTATGATGCGTAACCATAACAACAAGGTGATTTTCTACAACTGGGAGCTGCTGATTAACATCTCAAAAGCTCAAAAATATCTAAACTACAGCCCCAGATCCTTAATGAGTTGAAAATGAGGTGCCGTTGATGCATTCCCATCGACCTGGAGGCGGTGCTCGAGTGCCTGACCACAGAGATCTTGGACGTAGTGGGAAACACGGCTCGTGACAATGGGAGAACTGAGATTGTACCCCGGCACCTGCAGTTAAGTCCGTGGCGACGAGGAGCTCGGCAAGCTGCTGGGAGAAATGGTCATCGCTCGGGGAGGAGTTCTGCCCAGCATTCAGGTGGTCCTGCTGCCCAAGAGGACAGAGAGATCTGCTGGGTGAACCCCTCATTGCCTCCGATGTGTGTCCCATCGGTGTATGAATGTGATAAAGCTCTGATTACCGTATTTTTTGGACTATAAGGCGCATTAAGCGAAACAAAAGTCAGATAAGTCAAACTTTATTTGACTCATTCACAATAGCTCCCAACATTGCAGTTGTAACACATAAAATACAAAACAATACACATTTTTGAGCTCCGTGTACCGTATAACATTGGTTCGAGGTCAGTAAGTACAACCAGAATTAATACATAAGGCTCACTGGATTGTAAGGCTCACTGTTGATTTTTGAGAAATTTTAAAGGATTTTAAATGCGCCTTATAGTCTGAAAAATATGGTAATCTTTGTAGAGATGTAGTAGAGTGCTGTATGGATGGGTAAATGAGGGCACAGATTGTAGTGTAAAGAGCTTTGAGTATCTGGATAAGATAAAAAGGTGCTATATAAATACAGTACATTTACCATTATCACCTAAATCAAGAGGAATATTGTAACAAGTCAACAAAGTCCATGCTCAATAATTGTAACAAATCATTAACATTAAGATAAATATCCCAGACTTTGGTGTCAGGTTGGACATTTATATTAATTACCATCTCCATCACAACATTTTGATTAATTATGTTTGTTTATGGGTGGTGCGTTGGCACAGTTGGA